GCGGTGTGTCCTGCTTTTGGGGTATCGATGAGGAAGCTATCCGCTTTGACACGAGTTCGGCGGCCTCCAGGCGGTAGAGTTATGATGACGCTATGGGCATCGTGAACGTATCCCTCCATCAGAAGGATCGTGTTGCTCAAGCTGCTCTATTATGATCGTAGCGCAGCACTTTGTGAGAGCACATGGAGCGATTGAGATGATAGCAACATCCGAGATGAGCAGTCGTGATAGTAGTTGGGCCACGCATTTTAACCTCGGCAGAATCGGCGAGACGGCAGGAGTGGATCTCTCAGCCACCGCGTGAAGTACGTACCTCGCGCGGTAATGTCAAGAACGGAAGACAATATTGCGCGCGACAGAAGACAAGGGCAGGAGAACCAGCGTTGGGGCATCATCGGTGTTGGTTGGATCCCTTTGGCAAGCAGCACATTCCACGGCCCGCAAGCCGATCCGTCTTCCCGGAATCCGTATCTCCTCCAACGGCTCTGCAGGCACGCCCAACACACATCGCTTAGGATGTCTTAGACGACGAGCAGCCTGAGGCAACGTATGCAGCGCTATGCAGTCATTAAATCTCCAAACCCAACGTTCCGTCGGAGCAAGCTAGGCCGCAAGACGACGGAACCGCGGGCCTGCTTCCAATCCACGGGATACGTATCCCACCACCACACGCAGACCCACCAAGCTTTCTCAACAGCACGCACGTTTATGAAGCTGCCTTTCTATTCTAGATAGGGCTTTCGCGGACAAGCGGCCTTGAACTACTGTTCTGGATAAGCCAAGGTGGGCTGAATAGGCTGAAAGGGTGTGTGCTCCCCGCTGTTAGGTGCTTGATATTGCTGCCGCGCGTGAGGCGCCACCAACGCGGATAGAATAGATATAAGAAGCGGCTTGTCTGTACGATACAGTCCAGACCCTGCGTTTGCGCTTTCAAAAAGGTTCAGATTTACCATCATGCCGTCTACTAAGAGCAAGAACATCATCATCACCGGCGGTGCGCGAGGCATCGGCCGCTGCACAGCACGACATTTGCTTTCGTTACCGGCATCGCATCGTGTGTTCATCATCGATTTCGACAAAGACGAACTGGATTACGCTATAAACACACATCTGGCCTCCTACGCACCACGCGTCAGCTCTTCGATAACCAACCTCCGCAATCCAGAGGAGATCCGCAGCGCAGTTGCCAAAGCCGCGGAGTTCTTCGGCGGTCGCATAGATGTCCTTGTCAACAATGCAGGTGTAGCGCGAGGCTTCTTCAACGCAGGAAATGGGACCATGGAAGATGTCGCTACGGGAGAGCAATGGGAACAGTACATTGCTACTAATCTCAGCGCACCCTTCTATATGAGCCAAGCCGTCATTCCTTTCATGAAGAGCAAGAACACGCAGAAAGATGGTGCGCCGGGTGTTGATCGGACGAAAGATTTGAAGCGTACGGACGAGTTCAATCAGTTGCCGCTGAATCTCCATGGCGATGACAAATTCGACGAAGGAGGCTGCATCATCAACGTTGCCTCTTTCCGCGCTCATCAGTCGGACCCGGATTGTGAAGGCTATGCTGCGAGCAAGGGCGGTGTACTGGCTCTTACACAGGCCATGTCTGTCTCGTGCCAACGCTGGGGAATCCGTGTTATGGCGATCTCGCCGGGCTGGGTCAGCGTGCAGCACGAGTGCAAAGCTTATGATCTGCAGATCAAAGAGACGCAAAACGGATCGTACAAAGAGACTGCACCTCATGAGGAGGAAGCGATGAAGCTGAGGATGAAGGCCTGGGCGGACGACCTGGACGAGCTTTACCACAAGCAACATCCAGCCGGCAGAGTGGGCAGAGGAGAAGATCTCGCTGAGATGGTCGAGTACGTCATGGGTGCGGGTTTCTTGAGTGGACAGGAGTTGATTCTGGATGGTGGTGCGAACCGGAGAAAGAACCCCAATATCTGAGAAGTCTGTAGGATCAACAAATAGATGAGCGAAGCCAACTCGTCGCTATGCATGTGCAGCAAATGCTTGTATCCTATCTGGTACTCCACCAACGCCATGCTCGCGGTCGTGTCATAAAATCAACGCCAAAATAAGCAAGAAGCAACCCTAGGAGAGGAAACAAGAAAGCAAGGGTGATCTGTTGTATCCCAACTGGAAACCTAATCACTTGAAGAGAACTTCAACCATACACTTGTCATCAAGATCGCACTCTTCCACAGTATCCATGGGCATTAGCCGCTCACCATCAAACATGAGCGTGATTGGCTGACTTTTATCGATCTTTTGGCTGTTCTTGTAGGCACTTGCGATGTGGGCGACGGTGGTCTCCTAATGACTAGTTAGCATTTGGACAAGGCTGATGAGGTTTGGCGTCGCACTTTTGTGCATACCCCAAAGGGACAGTTGACACATACCTGTTTGACTGTCAACCTGAACTCGGGTTTACCCTTTGCCTTGAGGATCAACCTGACCCGGTTGGAAGCGGGTTCAGGCTCGGGCTCTGGTGTTGGAGTCTTTTCTTTTGCCACGGCAGGTGTTGCGGCGGCGATCTTTCTCGCCTCAGCTGCCGCAGCCTCATCCCTCTTCCACTGCCTGTAGATCTCCTCTGTCCACGCTTCGACATGAATCTTGGGGAGGTTGACGTCGTCGTAAATGTTAGAGTCTCCTTCGACGGATAGGTTGCCGTTTTCCACCTTTATTCCTAAGCGCTGTATCGATGTGCTATCGAAGAGGCGTGCGCCCTTCCAAGTGAAGAAGACGTTGCGTGTTGTTTCAGGCGAGAACTTTTCTTTCTGACACCATGCCAGCCGTGGCTTCTCGATGGTGCTGTCTATCCTGACCTTGACCATCAACGGATTTGCGCCGGGTATTTGTGGGTCGATGAAGAGCTGCGTTATGGGTGCTTTCGGAGCGTCGCCGTTTGATGCTGCTGCGGCTTGCGCCTTGGCCGCTGCAACGCGCGCTCGTGCCCTGGCCTGCAATGCAGCTATTGTAGGATCCAGGCCTTCCTCATCTTCCTCGTCGTCGTCGTCGTCATCCTTGATCTCTATAGGAGGTGGCTTCGATGGTCGAACGGCTATGGGCTGTTTGTCATTGGATCTCGGTGGTTTGTAGTCCAACTCAGACTTGTCGTTGTGCGGCTTGGAAACATAGCCCGAGTCGTCGTCCAGGTCTGAATCGCCCAGGTCAATGACGGAAGACGTCTGTTGTGGCAATGAAACACTCGAGGAGGCGGATTTGGTGAGGGAGTCGTACCGGGCCGTGAGCGAGTCCGGCGGCGGATGCGATGGCGCGGGAGAGGGGGATACTTTGCTGCGCCTGAGCTATTGTTAGTACTAATATTGCGATGTAGGGCCTGATGCGTACACTTTGCTGGTGGTCCTACTCGCCCGCTCTCTGCTGGCTGAGCTACTTTTGGTAGGCACGGGCTCTTCGGTGTCGTTTGATATGCGACGGCGCTTCTGGTCGCGCGGCTCAGAGTGTTTGCGCTTCCTGGCTGCCTCGGCCTGCTTCTTCTCTTCTGCGCGGATCCTCGCTTGCTCGGCGACTATGTCATTGAACTCGTTGGAGTGGCTGAACATGTCCTCGCCGTCTTTCTTGGGCGCATCCTGCCATGCCGCCCGCTTGAACAGGCTGCGTTTCTTGGGTGGTGCGACGCTTGCGGGTGTATCGGTCATGGTTCGGGCGGTGCCATGGGCGGTCTCAGTGGGCGGAGGAGGTGTCGTGCTACCCCAGGGTAGTGTGTAGGAAAGGGCAACCTTGGAAGGCCGCTGTCGGGGCAGGCGCGGGTTGGTGCAGGTGGGGCCTCAACGCGCGCAGTCACGCTTCTCGCGATGAGGAAGAGACTGGGCCCGTGCACTCTGCCTTTCCACACGACCCAGCATCGCCATCTCTCACGTCCGCATCATCGGCGACCGACTTCAAGAAATATCTGCTTACGCCTACTTAAGCATCAACGTAAGATCTATCTAGACGCGTCGTAATAAGTTGCTGATTGTTTGCTAGAAAATTCAGCATCACCACCACCCTCATCACCATGTCCACCAACGGTGAAAGCCCAGCACCCGACGCCGCCGGTGACTCTAGAGATCCTAGCGGCTTCCTCAGTGAAATCATCGGAGCTCCCGTCACCGTCAAGCTGAACTCTGGTATCATCTACAAAGGTAGCCCTTGACGTGCCTATGATGCACATCAATTACTAATCTCCATGTAGGCGACCTTCAGTCAGTAGATGGCTACATGAACATTGCACTGGAGCGATGCAAGGAGGTGTCTGAGGGACGCGTCACTCGGAATTGGGGGGATGCTTTCGTCCGTGGTAACAATGGTATCCAACACACCACTTTGCTTTTCACTTCACTCAGTACTAACGGACGTGCAGTCACATACATCTGCGCAGACAAGGCATGAGAAGCCGCGGCTTTCTAGTCTAGAAGCAGGGTGGACGCGTCGACAAGCCACACGTGATGATCGATGACCCGTATCTTACACATACCTAGGTACTCAGCGCCAATAGGAGCTTGGACGACTGTCATGAGGTATACACCTGACGCTTCCACGAATGATTCAATATCAAAGCTGATTGTCGGGTGGTGCAAGTGACAGTCACGCAAACTTCTGAACTGCCCTTAAGTAACTGAGCGCCGTCCTCTGTATTAACTCACCGTCACCTCCACCCCAACATGGTCAACGGTGAAGGCTATATACGTATTCTTCTCATTCCCGCTCTCCTTCACCATGTCGTCACTGTCTCCTAAATTTGCAATCCCTGTCTTACGACTGGTTCACCTAGACTTTGCGCTGTCGCGACGCGCACTGCGCTGTTGGACCCTGCAAACATTGTGGACTTGTCTACGCGCAGCTACTGTTAGCATACACAACAACAAGCCGCGCCTCTACGTCTGATTTTGAATTGCACTTTACAGATCTCACGCATTGCCGCACTCGTATCGCTCGTGCTACGAGTGGCATGCACTAACCTTCTAATCTCATCCAACCCAGCTGCTCGTTTCGCGATGACTGTGCCCAAAGTCAAGTCTCGCGCCCAGCTCCGTAGCCAGAAGAAGTCGCGTAGAACCAGCAAGAAGCACCACGTCGAGAAGCCGAAAGCAAAACAAACAAACAGCGATGCGCAGAGCCCTACAAAAGCACCAAAAGGTAGACATTGTTGCTTCAAACGGTATATCAACCAAATGAATCCGCTGACTGGCTCAGTGTACACGTCTTCTGCTGAATCCAACGACCCGATCTATGACGACAATAGCAACCCCGTTGATGATAACGGATCGTCCTTCGCCAGGCGCCATGTTCTAACTACTGACGATCAAGAGTCTGCCGGCGCCTTCAAAAGCGGTCTCCGAACCGTACTAATACGTGACAGAGCCCCTGTTACCACGGACGGTTCAGAAGCAGTCCGTAGCGCTACGGATGAGCAAGATCACGAGACGAGCGGTACCTGCGAGAGCGATAATCGAAATGAATCAGGCGATGATGGTATCTCTGCTATCCCGTGCGGTTCTGGCGCGCCAACGGAATTTGAAGATGAGGATGACGACCCGCCTGCCTCTCTTCTAAACCTGGCGCCTATTTGGTATCCTCAGCCAGACTGGTCTTGGCCGGAAACCCGGCCAGCGGCAACGGAAACTACATTAGGTGACTCTCCTGTCGCTGAACTTGCTACAGCGGGCCCTTCTCAATTGTCAGAGGAGACTACAGCAGATGCATCATCGGGGGTGGCAGTTGCTCCATCAGACTCACCACCGACAGGACCAGATGCGACGGTCGCAGTAGCATCCGCATCAACAGTAGTTACAGCACATCCAGCATCAGCGGCAACAACCACTACGGCAGACCCATCTTCAGTGTCGACAGTTGCTCCAGCAATTCTGACTCCGGTTGTGGCCGTTACTGCAACAGATTGTACTCCAGTGGTAGCCATCACTACATCAACTTTGGCTCAGGTATCATCGGTAAGCTCAACAAAGCCCTCTCTTGGAGTATGGCACAAATGGGTCGTCGACCTCTTTGCCGGACGCAAACCAGTCTCGCCCATGCACAACGATGTCAACAATGTACCACCGCCCGTCTCGATCATATCCTGGATTAGAGAGGATCGCGACTCTGACGCAGCGCTTCCATTGCCTTCCCAACCCCACCTTGAATTGAGATATCTCATCCCTGCGACCTTTGACAAGCGGATGAGACTGAACTATCATTCCAACATTCATCCCGCGCCCCAACATGACTCTGTCGGCAAGGTCGCGACCCATGAAGACGCATCCCCCACGAACAACGTACAGCGCGGCTTCGTCGTAGCAAATCGGCCTGCTTCAGCCCCATCTCCACCACGCCGCGACATTGATCATTACAGCAGTCTGCTAGCTCGTGACGACACCAACTGGGCGGAGTGGAACAAGTTGAATATTACTGCAGACGCCATGCCTTTCACACGGTCGCAGTCGGACACCCAGTTCCTGCATCCTCAGACCGGAGCGAAGATGGCACGGGCAAACGGTCACCTGACCAAGAGCCAGACTGGTCATGCTTTCCTAGAAGATGCCGGCCACCGGTATCCGTTTGGCCAGGGACCGGGCTGGTAGTGGTTGAGCAGTCAAGACATCTCTTGAACCGACTCAACACTTGAATACGTCCACCCAGTGACGAAATCTGGGACTAGATCAATTCCCCAACGACTTGTATAACAAAAGTACGTACCACATCCTCCAGCGCAGCAACTAAAAGCTAACGCCTGGAATCTAGACTGCTTCTTTTCTTCCCTTTTTCTGGTCTTGCGTCTGCAGCATTGGAGCGCGACTATTGTCCGCGCGAATGGCGTCTGCAGTATTGCCGTATCGGCATGGCTAGGTGCAGCTTTGCTCCACATCCAACGTGTGACGTGGTCCGAATTGGAATGCTCTTAGCTACCGGCGGCGCATACTAGGCGCGTCTTTAATCGGGCCGAGGACCGGCAGTGCTGGGAGGTGCTTTTCTTTTATCAGGGCTGCCCGGGGCGCTAGTAGGCGAGTTGTCGCTGAAAACGGTCGCGGTATTGGGATGGGTGGCGTTCAGCGGCTAGATCGTGTCTTTCTTTGCTTTCTTTCTGGGAGATACCCTGCGTTGAATGTATGGATTTTAGAAGTTGGTGTGTCACGATATGCAAAGTGATGTTATGAGTGATGTGGTTGCGAGCATCGCCCTGGCTGGCGAGCAGCTCAATGTAGCAGTAGGCGTCATGATGATAAGGTGGCGTGTATTCATGTGTAGCAGTCGTTGTATCATGTACTCGTCTAGGAAATTCGTGCAGTCAGAAGAAAAGAAAGGAAAATAACGCCATTCACGCATCGTCCGTTGCGTCATTGCTCTGCATATCCAGCAGCGAGCATCAACGTTGAATCATCCCATTTACCTCCTCCTCTAGTTCGCTTCCCTGATTGGAGTGAAGACGACTTTAGCACTAGGCTTAGGCAAGATGGTCGACCGCCAAGTGAAGAGGCGCTTCGCTGTCGGGTTGACAAGCTCACAGTCGTAGTTCAAAATGACTTGTCCGAGGATGACCTTCATGACAGCTGAAGCGTAGAACCTTCCGGGGCTATAACGAGTCGTTAGCAGGGTCTTCAGTCACAACAACCGAGATACAGCAAGAGACTTACCAGGCCATTCTGCCCGTTCCCCAGACGTGGAATGTCATGTCAAAGTCAGTCAGTTTCGTTGGCTTCTTCTGCATAATATCGAAAGCGCCATCAGCATTCTCCAGGCTCTTAACGAGTTGCGGGTCAGCAAAGCGGAAACCGCTGAATGTCGTTGCTTCGGGGTAATCGACGGGGTTCGTCATGATGGCGCGGACGGGTGTGCAGAACCAATCTCCAATGTTGACGTGGGTACCGTCCTTGAGAGAGAAAGGTTGGAGCGCTGAGCGACGTGTGCTTTGCGACTCAACGGGTGTCAAGCGCGCAGACTCCTTGATAAAGCTGTCGAGAAGCGGAAGTCCAACACCGCTTTGCTCAAACGCGGCGTATTGGGACTCGCACTCCCTTCGTAGGGGTTCTACGTACTCAGGGTGGAGGCAGAGGTCGTGGATGGCGAAAGTTACGGTTGTGGAGACGGCGTGCACGGAGCCGAACCAGATGGCCATCAGCTCGTGGACGACACGCTGAGGTGTCCAGGGCGCGTTCTTGGGTGATGTCTCCATGATCCATTGGATGCAGTCGGCGTGTTGGGGCACTTTCTGGCCTAGCTTGGCTGCGTCTCGCTCGATGCATCGTTCTTCGGCAATGGGCAGAAGCCTGTTAAAGATGACAGCGTGTGACTTGAGTGTGCGAGCGATGATGCCGCCGACGATGCTGTACGAATTAGTAAAGAGGGCTGATGTGACTCGACAATAGCACTTACGGGGTCATGAACCCGGGTAGCAGGCGAACGATCTCAGCGCAGATGAGAGTCTCTTCGATGTAGGCGAGGGCGGAGACCATGAACTGCTCATCCTTTGCTGCCTTCGGTCAGTCATGTGCGAAGAAATGAGCGAAGTGCATGGCATGAGACTTACCCAGATCCTTTCCAAAGAAAGATACTGCATTCGACAAGACGACCAACTTCACAGTCATGTGGTACACATCCGACTGCTTCTTTCCTGTTGATTATTGTCAGCAGAGTTACATAGGTCAAAGCCTCGCGTTGTATTACCGTTGATCACTGGGTGTCCAGCATGTAGCTCCTGGAACCTGGTGCGGATGATGCAAGTAAGGTCAGGAAGGATCTTGGGCAAGTTGTTGGTCAAAAGTGTACGAAGAGCGCGGATAAATCCAACACCCTCAGTACCACGTCGGTCAAACCAGTTGAAGCCGTGCCTGCGACTCGTTAGTAGACCGAATGCACAAAGACTGACTCCGAGAAGCGCGAGGGTCGTCCTACATAGTGTAGAGGGGCTGTAGCATCTACAATTTGTCAATAATCGCCAAGAACGAAAGCTACCGAAGAACTCACCTGCTTTGACGCTGCCTGAAGTGACAGCACCGTATCTGGCGCATTGTCTAGCTCCTTGATCTGCTGAGGGTCGGAGACAAAGACATAGCGGTTATCCGGGGCGAAGAGCTCAAATGGCTTCCCTTTCGCCTCATCAAACGCTTTCTGGATGATTTCAGGGCCCCAGAAGAGATATGCCCATGCCTGGTACCGCTTGGTGATAGGCTTGAAGATGGTCTTCAAGATCCTTGATGGAGAAGAAGCCTGGTAAATAGGTCAGTGTGCACTCATAATGCATACGGAGGATATGCATCCGGTACGTACCAGCTTCTTCGCAACCAAAGCCTTGTAACAAAAGAAAATAGATATCAAACCGAAGATGCTGCTCGCAGCATTGACCGCCAATGGGCTGAGCGCTGGCAAATGTACGCTCTGCATCTCTAGAAAGTCCATGATGGCAGTAAAGTTTGGTTACGAAGTAAGACCTTAGATTGGGCTAATAGGCGCGGGGTGTCAAGCATTGGTACATATAGAAAGTTACCATATCGACGTTGCTCTAGCTACAGGTTCTGCTGCGCGGACGCGCCGGTTGGAACGACCCGTTACATTACGTCTAAGCTTCTATGCAAGTAAACTAAAGTCATTGTTGGCTAGCTAAACTGTGCCACTGCACTGCAGCACGATCGGATTAATGTCAGGCCATCTGCATGCTACACAAGCTGCGTCGCTTGATGGACGCTCTCACCTATCGTGTGTTGCGCGGTCGATGAAAAGGCGAGCAACCCACCCTTCTCTAGCGCTATCACAACGTCTGCTGTCCTAGAAAGTAAGTAGACCCGATGCAACTACCACGCAGAACACGAAGCGCCTCGTCCGTCATGCTGGAAGGACCAACGGTCCGATCCATAAGGGTGTAGTGTGAGAATCGGGGAAAACGGTGAACGTCTGGACGAGTCCGAGGCTGCGGCTCTAATTCGAGGCTTGTGCGCAAACGCACGAACGCGTGGGCGAATCACAGCTGGATGAGGAAATGTTCCGTGCGCTAGATGACGGAAGAGGCCCTTCAGGACCCCTGACTATCGATACGGCTAGGTCAAGCCGCGACCCTTGATGGACTGCCGCCGACCAAGATGGCGAATAGGTGAGTGCACGGCAAGCTATCGATGTCGAAAAGTGACAGTTGCAAAGGCGCGCTTAGGCGGATGCCCCACATGGCACCACTACTAAGAGGTAGGACCGACCGCTCACGTCTGATTGGAGGACAAAAGCTCTGGTGGAGTCAAATCCGACGTCGGTCTTGTATCGCATCTGTACCTCGCTGCACCTAAGGAAGCGACTTCAAGGACAGAGCCTACTTACCGCTGTATTCCCAGACCAGCAAAAGGACCTACCTCGGCCGTCCTTGTGCAAGCCGCCAGGTGACCTAACACACCTTCATATCTTCCAGGGTCTCTCGAAGCAGAACAAGGTTTAATCGTCATTGCGTGCATACAGAGATATCGATAGCGGGAGACAAAGGTAACATCGCGGGTAGCATTGCCTGCAGGCAATGAGGTCCAAGGCCCGCTTCTCCATGGGTTCCTTTCTTTTTGATCATGCACACCTCTTCCCACGTGTCTGGATACGGATGACGCGGACACACCCACTGGCCCGGCTTGGATCCTGGTAGCAATGCCTACGCACGTGCGGTTATGGATTAAAGCAGGCCATCGGTTCCAATTACACATCCGGAGTACGTTTGCGTTTTAACTGGAGATATACGAAGAGGCTTGCATGTCCTAGTACCCCATCAGGACGAGCTGGCGAGAAAAATCCTTCGTCCGGATATATTGTAGCTAGAGCCAGCGCTGCCATGATACGTCTTGGCGTATACGATCGACTTCAAGTAGATTTACCGGATGTCGACCGGATGATAGCGAGTAATCGAGGTATTTTTTTCCATGTGCAAACGAGCTCAGACCGACTTTGTATCCGGGCACCGCTCGAGAAGCGACCGACTAGCGCGCACATAGCATCCGCATACGTGTACGCGGGGGGAAGATGGCGACCGGCAACCAATGTCTTTCTCCACCAGAATTCGAGATCCAGTCGAACATCTGTATAAATCGCTCCTCATGACGCGTCTCTTCCTGGTCGAGAGTGTTCGAGCGAGCAGTGCTAGTTGTAGTGGTGTGCTGCGACTAAAGTCGCAACTCTGCTTTACTCTTGCATAGTCTCATAGCCAATGGTTCTGCTTCTGTTTCCACGCAATATCTTTTAGTTGAAGTCATAATTCAACGTTGATTCTCCGGTCACATGCAAAACCAAAACAAGCCACTGAAAGACGAGACATTTGTGATATCGCTTTGAGAGACTCCACGCCTATTCCTGATATGGAAGTCTGCCGACCCGAGCCGTGTGTGGAGCCGCGCGGTTGACGCACTGTCGTACAACCTTCCTCAAAAGATGGCAGCTACTGCAATGTGAGTAGTACGCGATGGGTGCATTGCATGCTGCAATACCGGAGCAACTCCCTAGGTACTACCCTGAAAATCATGCCGTTCGATGACCCGCTCAGTCGCGCTAGCAACAAGTGTCGCGGGAGGCCTATCGATTGCAAATTCGAGCTTGCTGCTTTGCGATCATTGGCTCGGCCGTCTCGGTGAGCGCCGCAATTAACAGTATATTCGGCAGAATGTACAGGCCGGTAGCCGCGTTTGCAACATCAACATCGATGCATGCAGAGCACAGTGCTAGCTTGTTGGGAGGATCCGGCTGTTACCTACCTGCTGCATCAAATCCTTGCTCGTGCAAACAGCCCAATAGATGTACAGTCTAATGCAGAGGGCTTCCGAGGAGAGCTGAGCGGCGGGACGTTTCCTGTCACTGGCAGTCCATCGGCATCAGCATACTTTAAGTGTTTGGAGTGTCGAGTGCTCTTCGTTGTTCCTATGATCTGATTAGCTTAAACATGGAGCTCATCATCACGCCCACACAGGCCCTCGTGCCTTTGTCGGTTCTGTTCTTAGTCTACCATGCAATTCGGGCATTGTTTTTCGGAAAGCCAGAGTCCAAGCATTGGGAGGAGCTGCCAGTCGTGGGCCTCCAGAAAGGATGGTTTGAATGGGTGCGGGCGACCTTGAAGTCTATCCGGAAGACCCAGGACTGGGCGTTTGAAGGGTATCGCAAGGTATGATAGTCTTCGATGTCAGTAGAAATCTACTCATCCTTAATCTTCTAGTTTGCCAGCGTAAACAGCCCTTTCATCTTACCTAGCATCGACAGAGGAGCGATGATAATCCTTCCGCCTCGTCTGATCAAGAAGGTCTACTCACTGCCAGAGTCCACGCTCGATATCCACGCGACGCAGAGTGAGACTATCCAAACGAAATGGACAGTCTGGGACAAAGAAGTAGCCGACAATGACTTCCAGATCAACGTCGTGCGTCATCAGATTACGCGGAACCTCGAGCATTTGACGCCGCTGATGGCCGACGAACTTGACAGAGGCTTCGAGCGTTGGTGGGGAGGGAAAGACGACACAGAGTGGAAGGAAGTCGCAGTATGGGATGCTTGCTTGAAGTTGATCGCTGGTGCAAGTAACGGCGCCTTTTGCGGCGCGCCGCTATGTAAGTCGCTCGGGGTGCCTGGTTGGAAGATGCGCAAGCGCTGATAGTGTCGCAGGCCGTGATGAACAGTTCTTGAACGATCTTAGGGATCACGCAATGAGCATCTTTGCCGGCGCTATGCTTATCAACGCATCCCCTAAGCCGCTCAAGCCAGTGACTGGCTTTCTTGTAGGATCGACTTGCTGGTACTTGCGTAGAAAAGCAATGAAGGGCTGCTTGCCTTTTGTGACAGAGAGATTGAACGCTACTGCCCGTTTCAAGGCTGACCCGAAGTGCGGGTGGACACCACCGGTAGGATTCCGCCCCTTGCATTAACGAGCTGCGCATCAACATACTTACCCGGTCCCAGAAAGATGGTCTCCAATGGCTTATCGATGAGTGCTACGCCGCAGCCGCAAAGGGAGATGCAGGGCAGTTGGAGCCGAAGCGAGTGGCGCATCGGCTCTTGTTGGTCAATGATATATCCCTTCATTCGACCAGCTTCACTGTGCAGAACGTCATTCTGGACCTCTTCAGCTCGGATCCGGCAATGGGGTATGTTGATGCTCTGCGAGACGAAGCTGCATCCGTGCTCGCCAAGTCTGGTGGTGTATGGACGCGCGATGCGGTGCGGGATTTGAAGCTCATCGATTCAATGATCCGTGAATCAATGAGGCTTAATCCGTTCGCCATTGTCGGACTTCCGCGAACAGTATGTATGCCAACAAGTATTAAAGGACTGGTATTAACGAAGTGCAGGTCGTTCACCCCGAAGGCATTCGTCTCCCAGTTTCCAACGTTCATGTGCCTCAAGGTACCATGATCGCGGTTCCAATGGAGCCAATCCACTATGACGAGAGTATCTATCCCCAAGCACGCAGCTTCAACGCGTTCCGGTTCGCAGACCCGAACAATGTGACTAGCATCGTCGACAACTTTGCGACCAAAGACGACCTCGAGGCTGCTAAAGCGGACACGAACGAGCGGAAGGGCAAGTCGACTGCTACGCTTGATGATGCTTTCCTCGGGTTCGGGTTTGGCCGACACGCCTGCCCTGGGCGATTCTTTGCCTTGAATGAGATGAAGGTCTTCATTGCGCACATGCTGTTGAACTATGACGTTGAGCACATGGCAGTTAGACCGAAACCGTTGGATACTGTGTGGCTAAAACTTCCGTTGCACGGTGGGAAGATCCGTGTGCGACGCAGGCCGTCAAGTGTGTAGATAGAATAAAGCTATCCTCTGTTGAACCTCATCCAGTGTAAATCCGACAGCCCTCGCTGTGTTGATTCGATCCTTTGCTACAGACGCCTGCCGGGTGAGCATACTAGTTTGCGCTTCGTGTTCGATATTGATGTCGAGTTCGTCGTCAATTCGTAGGTCCCAAAGCTCCTGTTCAGGTAGATCGCGAGAGTTTTCAGTCGCCAGCTGCTCTTCCTGGTCGCTTCCTCCCTCTTCGCTCTTGGGGGCGGTAGTGCAGGAAGACCTCCTCAAGTAGGATCGCTCATCGCAGGTCGGCCGACTTATGATGAGGGTGTGGGAGGGATTCTTGTGTTCCTGATGAGCAGCGATCTGAATGACACCTAGGGCTAATGTTTAGCTGAATCGGACCAGCACCATGTAGTCCTGAGAGAGACCGGTAGTGCGTGGGGCGCTTGCAGAGGGGAGTTAGCGACGGATCTCTACACAGATCCCACAATCCGTGGCGTCGTGCTTGCTGCGATGTTGCTGTTTGCGCGCCTGTGGTACCTCCAAAAGACGCATGAGGCTAATGTGCTGGACAGTTTTGGCATGCTGTTCAGTCTTTGGTCGCTACTTCCTGCTATCGTAGCTGATTTACCCAAGACAGACGTCGCTTCCTAGATGGCAACCTACAATTTGGTGCGGACCTTCGAACGAGTCAGGCAACACCATCGCTATCATCGTGTTAAATAGTTCCTTTGATCAAAACCTTCAATTGAACTCGCCGCCATCGTTGCGCGCGCAACTGCGGAGTGAATGGGCACACGGCTTCGCGAGCCAGGCGGGCCTTGTACGTGAGATCATCGCAACTGGCATGTGGACCAAGGTGACCGACATGCGTCAGTGGCGTTTACGAGTATAGTGGCTGGGCTCAGCTTGAGGTATCAGTATCGTGTGTTGCTGGTTGATTGTTGTTGGAGGAAGCGTCCGCCCCCTTGAGGGAAACCACGCTAACGTTGGAAGCCACATGAGAGGATGCACGTGAGAGCGAAAGAAAGAACCGCACGACAGCGTAGTTACATGTACAGATATCGCTCACAAGCCTTTGGGACTGCTATGAGCTTCTCAAACACTCCTGTACCAATTGCACGCGAGCCTGGAGACTGACCACGTGATTGGGTACTAGCGTGTAATGGATGCCCCGACCGGCAAGCTGCTTTCGGAACGCGTCGTCGATGCGCATCCACGCCTCCGTCCCGTCTGGCATCAATCGCGTCCCGTCTGGCATCAATCGCGTCCCGTCGTCGGCAAGCCAACTACAGCCAGCTTCGCATAGCACCACAACGCCCGCCTTCATGCGCCGCTCGAGTTCCTTCCACTTTGCCGATGCGAGCATCTCGCCTGCCGCTCCTTCGCCCACGAACAGTTGCGCGTATATGATAGGATCGAGACCGGAGCGATCGGAGATATACCATGTGGTCGGCGGCGTGTCAAGACCGATGGCAGCCTGTTCGGCTTCGAATTGCGCGTCGAGGATGTGCTTCTGCAGTTGCAAGGATCGGGACGGCGATGCAGTGATGTCCTCGCGGCTGAAATGCTTGTCGTGTAACACTTTGCGCGCGACCTCTCGGATGATCACCGGCCTCGAGGCTACCTCTGTAACTGGAAGGGCTGTGTCACGTTTATGAAACGCGTCTTCGAGTGCGTTCACGAGCGTCGTCTTGCCGGTACATTGGGCGCCGATAATGTAAAGACAGCGACTGAGGGCTGCCTCATTCGCCATTATGTCTGTGGTGAGTGCTGGGGAACAGTCAGAAGTCAAGGCAGACGCTGCTCTTACGGTAAGTCTTGTTTTGCCGCTTTGGGTAGTTCGGTGTAACGTCGCACAAGCAAACGCAATCCTTCACGAATCACGAAGACTTTCGTCTGTGTAGACCCCGCATCAAGCCACTCTCTTTCTGCAACACTGCGGCGCACTCCTCTCCATCACAACAATGAGCAGCTTGCGAACTTTTCGCGTCGTGCTCTCGCGTGATTTCGATCCAGAGATCACATCATGGAATTACACAATTGCCAACCTCCCGCAGGCCAGGCAGACAAACGCGGCTGGACTTGTCAAGTGCCTATCCCTTGTTTCTTCGGGAACGGTGCAGGAAATCGTCCTGCGGTTTGAAAGCGCGCCCTCCAACCGTGTTACACGCAAAGAGCCTTTGGACAGACTCCTCCTCGTTTCGCTGGCGGACTTCCGCTTGCGTTGGCCTTCAAAATCGCCAGATGACCCACCACGCGTAGCCACTGGCAGAGAGAATGGCGATTATGTCACAAGACTACTCACCACTGGCGTTGTACTCAATGGGATTCACTACCACTTCTTTGGTCATTCAAACAGCCAAACGAAGTCCAGATCTTGCTTCATGTATGGCGCATCGAAAGAAGACATCTCTGCCAAGATCGAAGCTATGGGTGATCTCTCGAAACTCAAGTCCGTAGGCAAGAAAGCAAAACGCATTGGGCTGCTTTTCTCTAGCGCAGAGGCCGCGCTTGATCTCTCCCCGGAACGCTGCAGAGACATCGACGACGTCAAACGCGATGATTACGTTTTCACCGACGGATGTGGTCTGATATCTCTTCAACTTGCTCGACAACTGGCCCAGAGACGCAACATAATATATCGCAATCAGCGCTACCTACCGTCCGTATTCCAAATTCGATACCGTGGATACAAGGGCGTATTGACCTTAGACCCTACCGTTCAGGGTAAGGAACAGGTACAGTTTCGAGAATCTATGAGGAAGTTCAAGGATGCGTCCGATCACAGTTTCGCGGTCGTAGACTATTCCAAGGTTAGATTTCCAAATCGTCTCTTGGCCTACTGAGCTGACTGGACTTAGCCTTACGTCTATGGTAGCCTGAACGATGAGGTGGTGGTGCTCTTGCATACGTTAGGTATTTCGGCGGATATCCTTCTCGACAAGCAGCAGCAGCATCTGCACTTCCTCAATAACGTTAGCCAAGGTAATCCTGGGGCAGCATTCCAGTATCTCTCATACAGTGGCAGACTCGATCTAGCAGAGAGACTTCTATTAGAAGGCATTGGATCTGTCCACACGATCCTAGGAAGGATGATTCGAGAAGAGTACACCAAGATGCTGAACAAACGAGACGAACAACGATGTCGGATTCTGATCCGCCGCTCACGGCTTCTCTTCGGTGTTTGCGACCCAAGCAGCAGGAATGGTCACCCGGGAAAGCTCAGAGAAGGTGAATGCTTTGTGCGGATAACTGATGTTGACGGGCGAGCGCATACCATCATTAACACCGAGGTGATGGTAACGAGAAATCCATGCCTGCATCCAGGCGATCTCCAGAAATTCAAGGCAGTAGATATCCCGGAGTTTGCTCATCTAGTCGACTGCATCGTGTTCTCAACTGAAGGGAGCAGGCCAAGCGCTGATCTCATGTCAGGCGGTGATCTCGATGGGGACAAATGTAAACCTCTCGTATGTACCTGTCTCGAACTCGCTAATATCTTTCTAGTCTTCGTGACTTGGGATCCAGATATCATTCCACGAACGATGGCACAGCCCGCCCAATACCCAGGAGGCAAAGAACTTGTAACTTTCGGCGAAGTGACCGGTGACGCCCGAGCGGAGTACTTTGCCCGATACACCAGTGCGTCCCTGGGAAAAGTCAAAAATCTTTACATGAGATGGGCGCGCCTCGGTCATGCCATGAGCCCGCAATGTCAACAACTCAATCGGTTGTTTTCTCAATGCGTCGATGGAAACCACATCCGGATTCCTGACGACCTCAAGGAATTCACGAAGTTAGAGGATCCGTCTGAACCTAAACATACCGTCGCTCCCTTCATCTTGGATGTTCTGCATGATGCTTGCACCCAGCTCATTCTTCAGGCTGACAACACACGACCCAACGACTGCGATGAAGTCGACGTGATGGAGCTCTTCCTCGCACGAGACAAGATGGCGATGTCTGAATTCGAATTACTGCATCTTCTACTGCGCTGGTGTAAGCATAGCGGTGAAGACATCCTCGAATACAGTCACCATCTCGACTTCAGTGCTTTGAGCGATGAGCAGCAAATATGGTTTCTTAGCTGCCTTCCACCGTCTGCAACTGCGCCGAGTTTGGTACGCAACGGGCTTCTCCAGTCAGAACTCGTCACGCCTGATGAGGTGAGCAAGTTTCGCCTAGATCAGCCGCACCTGCACTGGAAGCCGGTCTTCAGATCGTCCACCGACCGTATGCAAAGATTCTTGTCTACCGTCTCTCAGGCCTTGGAAATCTTCCACAAGAAACTCATCATCTTGACGGTGGATGAACGTCTGAGCGTTGCGATATACGTACCAAAAAAGATTGAAAGAGCAAGCGAAGTTCAAGTCGACACCGGCGTCGTAGTCTTCGCTTTCCCCCACTCACAAGGCCTACATTCACCAAACTACAAAATGCTACCAACCAAAGTCAATTACAGGCTGTTTTGCGATGAGCATATGTTTCAATTGTACGAACGTCAGCGGAGTAACACATGGATCTTTCTGAGGCGTCCTCAGGCTGACGATTCGCTCTACCGAAATGAGAAAAACAAAGGAGACAAACGCAGAGCACGCGAGACTACTGTGCGCGATGGAGTCAACTTTGACTGCAAAGCTAGCATTGCTTTGGACAAAGTTGGTCGAGGACTTCAGCAGCATATCGGCAAGGTGCAGCAAAATGGGGTATTGGGTGCGGTAGGTTGACGCTCTCTATGCCGGACTTCTACAGTTACCGTGATACTGATAATATTTAGGAAATATATGTCATCAGCAACAGAGACATCAACTCAATGCGGGTGCTTGACGAGTGGCTTACCTTCGTCGACACTGATGAAGTCTTACCGCTATTTGAGAAACCGAACAAGAACTACGATATTTCTAGATTGAGTTCTAAAGACTGGGCAGACTACACCGAGACAGTAGTTGCCGTGGTTCGCGACAAAGACTTTGCTCACCTCCAAAAACTGAAGTCTGTGTCAGACCTGTCGACCATCCTTGGTTTGCTCAATGACCATGGTGAAAAGAAGATGCTTTTGGACACGTTCTCGCATGTTCTTGCTTTTGAAGCAAGCTCCGCCCTCTCGCTAGACCGGACGATCGTAGCGTCGACTCTCCTCGACTTCCTACCGAATGCGGTGTACCTGATACCCGCATTCTTCCACTCTCAAACGTGGGAGACCCATAGGTCCTCGTTGAACGAACACCTTATCCATCTGGCCTTTAGTCTACTGAGACATCTCGTCCTTTTGTCGGAGGAGATGGGTACTTTCATCCGGCGTCCAATCCAAATTCTGTTGCAAGAACTGAAGTGCATCTCGTTGAGAGAGTTCGCCGACATCGTGGAGCTCATTTCGCTTACGGTCCGCTCTTCCGAAACGGCCTTGGATCTTCTTCTTGGGGTGTTAGAGCCTGAAAGCTCGCGGCTTCTGGTAGGACGGCCGACTGCAATTCGGCAATTCACGTCATCGTTGTTCGGCATCGCGCTTGACCATGTAGATGAAGCGTCTAGTGCTCGCGAGCAAAAGTCGCAAGACTTTCTCGAGCTGCGCCTGGATGGCCATAGCGACGGCTACGCAATGGTCAAGGGCACACTTCGTATCGACTCTTCCTTGAATGGATTGCTCAAAGCTGGTGATCACGTTCGTCTTACAGCATCCGATCCACCGCAGAATGATGTTATCGCAAGGCTCTTCTCGATGGATGCTGTTGTGTCATCAGCTGAACCAGGCAAGGTTGCATTTCGGTGCCTTCATCATCCGCCGTCGTACCTTGGCAAGTGCGCCTGGAGTGTTACGCAGTGTGGATCTTTTGTTACATGTAAGACCTCTTTCGACGCTATAACTGCTTTCTACACCGAGCGCGAAACCTGTAGTGCCATCTACGCGATGCTTCTCGGTCTTCCTCCGTCAAAACAAGATAAGTCGATTGGCATCGAGCTACCGGTGACCGTCGCTCCATCACTGAACGGAAGTCAGAACGCAGCGCTCGCTGCTTCGATGAAACATTCATTGACGTTCATCTGGGGCCCTCCGGGTACAGGGAAGACCCATACAATTGTCGTCATTATTACCCAGCTGCTGGAAAAACTACCCAAATTACGATTCCTCGTTACTGCGCCAACGCATAATGCAGTGGATAACATGCTGAGGAGGTTCGTGGCCTACCCTGAAGCGAAGAATGATGGCATTGTCCCTGTTCGGGTATCGACGCAGGTAAGTGTGGTTACCTCCCACACATTTAATAATTATACTCACATCATAACAAGCTTTCCAAAGTCGCTCAGGACTTACGTACGTACACGTGTGACGCCATGGTCGGCAAAGAACTAAGCGCGAACTTCCCAGCTCGGCGTAAGGCGCAGAAGCGGATCAAAGAGGCCCGTCTCGTGTTTACTACGTGCACTGGAGCTGCGTTAGGTTTGCTTCGTAACGAGGCTTTCGATGTCGTTATCATTGACGAAGCCTCACAGCTTACTGAGCCCGCAACCCTGGTGCCTCTTGTCAAAGGGTGTTCGCGTGCGATATTAGTCGGAGACCATGTCCAGCTTCGCGCCACGGTTCAACAACCTGCTGTGGTAACAGGTTATGACGTCTCACTCTTTGAACGCCATTATAAGCTAGCACCAAGAGAAGGCGTCGCAAAAGTCATGCTCGACATGCAGTATCGCATGCACCGCTCCATTTGCGATTTCAGCTCCTCCGAGTTCTACGACAGTAAACTCCATACTGCTGTAACTGACAACGCGCGTCCACTGCCTCCTTCGCTCTTTCCCTGGCACAAGACAAATCGTATGGTTTGGGTTGAATGCGCTGCACCTGAAGACCTTTTCCAGCAATCCAAGTCGAATGCTGGCCAAGGCGACGTCTGCAAACGTATCATTCAGCTTCTGAAGGCATCACCGGCATCTAGTGGCTCGACTGCAACCCCAAAGGACTCCATCGAAACCCCTACTATCGCAATATTGACACCGTACACTCGTCAGAAGACTCTGCTTACAACAACAATTCCGAATGCTGAAGTCTACTCCATCGATAGCTTCCAGGGTCGTGAGGCTGACGTCATCGTGTTTGTAACCGTTCGGTGCAACGCTCATTACGCTTTGGGATTTCTGGATGACATGCGACGGCTGAATGTGGTCATGACAAGGGCGAAAGCTGGTGTTGTGTTGGTTGGGCACAAAAACACGTTGACAGGTGTAGGGGCAGCGGAGACTGTAGACGATAGCAAACTGGGTTGGAAGAGATTACTAGAGCGGTGCGAGGTTGTGGAGTTGCCAGCTCAGGACGAGGACAGTGGTTCCACTCACTGATGTACAGTGTCGCACATTACTTTGTCCTCCATATCAAAAGCCTCGGTCTCGGATCATAGCCGCCGACCGCTATCCTCGGGACTGTCAACTGTTAAGTTGCAAATGTTCATGACTTGCACGCGATGCAGCAATGCACTTCTAATGCGTCCATTACATAAGGCAATTCTAGACGACCCACAATGGCAGCCGGGAACCCGACGCGGCATTGGCAATCATGCCGGCCAAACGTGCCGATCCATTCCCATTGCCGCAACCAAGTTCACCCGTGTTGCAATGACCACCTCATGCCCGTGCCTCGCCTCAACGTTGAGCCTCATGCTTCGCTGTGCCTGCACTTTGTTCAAGCATGCGAATCCTTCCAAGTGTTCACCCGGCTTGTCTTTGTAAGGTCCCAGTGCCGACGGGACGAATCATCAGATTACTGCCAAGGCCCCATATTACTTCTATCTTCGTGTGTCACAAGGACTATAACTCGGCCTCGTCTGCTCGGTGACATCCTCGTACTCGACTGTCAAGTGTTGCGTTCGCGTAATGCCAGAGCTTGGCTCCACTTTACTCTCCTCGCTACCATTCCGAAAGCCCGGGCTCAAGATACTGTCCTGGCTATCGTGGCCCAGGGTTGTTTCAGATACGCCCGACTTCCCATGCTGCTTGGCTGATCGAAGAGTCTTGCTCCCGATCGTAGCGAGCTTCACACCCGACCGACTACGCGATCTGTATCCACTTGGACCTTGCTCACCGCGTGAGCTACCAAAGATCCCCCGGCCAAAGATGCGGTCGAATAATGGCTGCAAAGTCGGTATGCAGGCGCCGATGATGATAGAGTTTCCCTCGATACTGGTCCAGATAGTGATGTCGGCCGTATCGTCTGTGTCACGTTATTAGCATGGCTGATTCAACACCGCATGCGGGTCTACTCACAGCTGAAGTCAGGGCTCGCAAGCGCTGGAAGTCGAGTCGACTTGTACACAGCTACGGCTGCCGCACTGTTCCAAGTGTGAGCGGAAGTTTCAAGACAAGCATACGCAAGCTTACATAGAACCCAGTCCTAGCGCGGCACTCAAGGCTATCTTCTTCTTCAGGTTGATTTGTAGTCCATACAGAACAACGGCGGGATATATCGCGAGGTAGAGGTCCACGACGGCGGAGATGGCTTCGCGACGGTCAGTCATGTACTAGGTTTACTGGCTGTGAACTTACTTCCAGCTACGATGGCGTAGTAGATCAGAATCCATGGGCTCCAGCAAGTACCCTGGACGGAGAAGTCCCACTGCGACCGAGACGGCGTACACTGTGCGAAGATGATGATGACACAGCCAAACAGAATCAACAAACAACCACCGGTCATAGCCCACAGGAATATCCTATGTTTCCGGCTAGGGTTGGTGATTCTCGTCAGGAGAGCGACCACGGCCAGCTTGGGGATTCCGAACGAGAATATACCGGGAGGGAAGCCCGCGAGGGTGTACAATATAGCACCGGACTTTTGCTCGTCGCTGAGCACGGAGAAATGTCGTCCATTTCCAGCTTGTACGGCTGCTATCGTGAGGCCAAGCATGATGTAGCCACATATCTACACGATGCGTCAGCATGCTGAGCCAGTGGGAACGTTATTGAGAAATGCTCACCATCGACAATATGATCAGCCAGTCGTCGAGGCCTAGCCTTGATAGAATTTTGACTCTAACATAGAGTCTGGCCGCAACGAAAACAGTCGCTACCGTCGTCAATGAGATGCATACTGCCAAAACCGTTGGACCCTTAGTTTGTTGGGCAAAGCCTTCGGGAAGATCTTGCGGTACTGCCATATTGCAACAAGGCTAGGTGTGGAACCAAATGATGAGGGAAAGGTTACAGTACTGGAGCCTAGGTTCAGTTTGATATAAGCTCGACTGGACATCAGACTCTCTGCTTATCCCCTGCGCATGCCTGCAAAAGCATTATCGCCCTCTGACCACCAGCACCAGGGGTCGTAAGAGTTCGTGCGCAGTTTCGTCATGTAGCGATGCGGCTTAGACCTGGGAGCTTTCAGAAGTTCGTACCGCCCCTGGTACCGGGCATGGTTTCCGGAACGACTGTACTTTTTCAGAAAGATGACGATCGTGTGTCAGTCTACGGACTATCTTCTGAACTGGGAAGCGCGAGAGTAATCATTTCCATGCAGCGCGGGCGACGCCAGACCCACACGTGCTCGCACGTACATCGGATGCATAGGCCCGTCAAAAGAATCGACTGAACGGGTGGCCCAACCCAATCATAGCCATTCCGGTCAGATATGTCTTCTAATAGACTGCATACAGCCTTGAAGTAAGGTCTACGAAAGCAGTTCGGATATGCATTCGCGCATGGGTCTATCTGACTTCCGGTGGACAAGGTATCTGCTCCTGTCGCCAACTTGCTCAGCCAGCGGTAAGCAGACGTCCTGCCAATGACAGGGATGAAGGACGTTGTCATGCAGCCCGCTCGGCTCATCGATTGATCAACGGGCCTCCCGTCTGCGGGAGTGGATAACATGATCTTGGGAAGCAACAAGAGAAGCAACTAATATGGCAATCTGTGTTGCCTTGGGGTTTCCGATCTTTTCATTCTATACTCATGGAGACTACGCCGCATCTGCCCACATACATCCTTCACATCCTTCCACAGGGTGCGTCTCACAGCAGCTGTAGGATCATCGATGGAGTGACTATTTGTGGTGCCTGAATGACCTGATTGGTCTCCACTTAGCGACGGTTACGTTGCCGATGCCGCACTAATGTGGCTGTTTAGCCGGCTTGCCGCTCTGCCGCTCTTTCGGGTCCAAAGCCACGGGCCGTGTGGGGGTTTCGGCCTGCCACTGACTCTTTTCGAGCCCCATTCCCCACACTCACACCACTCGCGACAACGATTCCCCTTTATAAGGGATCGCGACATTCTATTGGTGTTCGTCTCATTTCGTTTTGAAGCTCATAAAATGATCAGAACGTTCCAATGAGTAAGTCGAGCGATGGGATACTAGATTGCAACTGCAAGCCTGCTCTATTTACAGAGCATCACCTTTACAAATGTTGGTTATAGCTGATCAGAGGTCCTTCAAGTGGGGGCCGTTCTCCAGCAGGCCATCATTCGAGTGCCAAGACGGACGATGGTATTGAAGTGGAAGTCAGGCCCACTGACTTGGGTGTGAATGCTCCGCGGATTCATCGTCCTTCAGTTGAAGCTTGTCATGTTGCGCCGTTTTCCGCCTCAGGGTATTCTTCTCGCCTGCTGTTGCCAAAACATCCTTCCCGTCTGATAACACGCCGTCATGAGTCGCAAGCCGCTGACCACACCGGCAATGCTGCTGTCCATCTCTGTGGAGACTCGGGAGTTGGACTGAAGGAGTTGACTTGCAGTTATAAGGAAGCAACGTATCAGCTGTACATCCAGCAGTGCCGTGAATCCTTTCACCTTCAACCCGTTTTACCGCCCAATTACTTTCCTCTTACCCCTTGCTCGTTACTCTTGAACGTGTCAGAACTTCGCAAACATGCTGGTCGATCTCGGCATTGCAGTGCGTGCGAACGACCCAAGCGCCGTTCCATGCCTACTGGAGAAGCTGTCGGAATTCGGGGGTAAACCCTCTGTTGATCACAATGACACTCGCATGGCAATGCTTTCGCAGGCTAAAGCGCTCGTCAGAGCGCTGCAGACTCCCCGTGAAACCATGATCGAGCAGAACTGGGCCCAGGTATGTGCTAGATCTTTGTAGAGGTTTCTGTATCTAAGTGGTGTCACTAGCCCGGCTGCCATACCGCCATCACCACCTGCTATAATGCAGGTGTGTTTGGTGTACTTGGAGACAAGCCAATGAAGGTGGACGACATTGCGAACAAGCTTGGAAAGCCTCGCGAACTGTTGGGTAAACTTGCGTACTAGCGAATCGTTCCGTGACCTCGCTTACACTGGTAGCTCGCTTGATGAGGCACATTGCAGCCATGGGTTACATCACCGAGACCGACAGTGATGAATACATGGCAACAAACTTCTCGAAGGCCTTGA